TCAATCCCCTGGCCTGAAACATATCCAAATTTACTCTAATTCGTTAGAAGCAATAACCATCTTGCTTAGAGATAGTGGCGAGAATCACCCATATGTGCAGATTATTGAAGAGAAAAGACACTTGTTATATGAGGATTGGGATATTGAGCTGGCTCATGCTAATGGGGAAGCTTTGAAGTGTGCTGGTGGCTTAGCACGACATGCACATTCAGATGATATGCAGATGAAGTTATTGCCGCAAGTGGTCGACTACTGCAAACTTGTTATTTACAGAGACGCACAGGAAGCTGAGGGGTTTGATCCTAGATGCTAGAGTTTCATTTTTAATGTTGGTTATTTTGATGCTAGAGTTTCTTTTTTAATGTTGGTTATTTTGATGTTTGTTCCTTTCAAGCGTTAAGCTTGCCACTTGTAATACACACAAAAAAAAAAAACAAAGAAATTACTTAATCTAATTTTTAAAAGTAATTGAACATATAATTTTTTGATTATATTATATTTAATACGATGAACTTTTTTGACAGAAAAGAGACGGAGATGAACAATTTTCCCTCACTTCAGTGACTGAAGATAAATTCTTTTTCGGTTAAAGATTTTGGTTGCATTTTTTTTCCTGATAAAGAAAAACATGGTAGATATTAATAATAACTGTAAAACATTTTAAGGTGGGGTCAGAATAAATGTAGGTGATTTAATAGGGGTAATTTGGCATTTTCATATTTTTATTTTCATTTTTCTCCTTTCTAAATAATTATAATTTTTAAGATCCTTTGTAGTAAATCTTTTACAATAAATATTTTTTTTTGTCCTTCTCTCTAATTTTCCCTTTAATTTATTAATGGGACCGTAGGTGCACAACATCATGCTCTCCATATCTAAGGGATTGAGTTAAAAATGTGTCCAAAATTCAAGCACTAAGGTGTACCATCCAATCTAGTCATAATTGAGACAAAATGCTCTCAACCTAATAAGGATCAGTCACAAGTCCAAAATGATCATTTGGGAATACCCTAAAATACTCCTAAATATAAGTGAGTTAAAAGTTGAAAATATTGAAAATCAAAATATTAATTTTCTCATACTTCAAATTAATGAAAATAATTGAAAGGAATAGTAAAATTAATCTTCACATACAATATATTCTTGATATGTACTTTTTAACTAAGGTGTTTATACTTTCTTATGTATGGGTGATAAATCTTATAGTATCTGCCTTTGCAATTTATTCAAGTTTTAATAAATAAAACTTCATAAATACTAGTAGTATAACTAATTCTCAATTAAATTTGCATATTCTTTCTTATAATAAACTCTTTCAAATTTCATTAAAAATGAGTGAATATGTAGTACGAAGCTCTAATGATAACTACAAATGACTTCCCTTCACCTAATGTTTTTGTTGGATCCAAAGAATTTCTTTTAACACGCTTGGGCCTTTACAGGATTTCCTACTGACAAATTATTCAAATTTTATTGAATAAAATTATTTAATTTTTTTGTGTTATTTAATGCTAGATTATTACAAATTTTGAGAAGTAGAAACGTAGTTGGGTTACTGGCTAGCTTTTTCCACCTATTGTAGACACACTGACTAACTATATTTTCATATTAAAATGCGTCAACTACACAAAACTTGTTTTGAGGTTTTTTGGTCGATCCTCTTATTTTTCAAAAGTCTTTTCTTAATATAACAAAAAACTTTTCCACATTAGATAAATAAAAATTTCTTCATCTCATAATATTTTCACTATGGTATGAAAACTGAAGCCTCTAGTTCAGCATGAAAATCAACAAACTGGTCAAGTAACTAGTCCAGTTAAACATGTAGACAGGAATCAAATTGACTCGGGAGGGGGTGCCCTGATGTAAACCGGACCAAATCGGGAGTAACCTGGTTAACCCACGTGGTTTGGTGGGTCAACCTGATTGATCTTTTTAAAAAAAAAATTATAAAAAAAAGCTATTTTAAGTCAAAAACTTTCTTTTTGCTTAAGCTATTGATAATTATTAGTTTTCTGATTAATAGATTGGAGGCAGGAATATTTTGTTATCCTATATCTAGTTTGATATTTTGCTAGGATTGATGCATAGTGATCTTTTTAATATGATAATATGATGTGAATTTGTCAAAGAAATTATAAAGAAGATCGGAAAGAAATTATAAGTATGTGATTATTTTGTTTATAATTTAAGGTAATGAACTACTATTTAGTCCTTAGAATATACATACGCGATGAACCCATAATTGTAAGTAAGTTGCTCACCGGGAGCTATATGTTTCAATTTTATATTTCTCACCTGTTTAACCTTGGGTTAACTCTGGTCTGACCCATTGATACTTGACCCTTTACCTCAACTGGTCCAGTTTTCAGTACCTTGATTTTCACCTCAGATAAAACAAATAAATATATATATATGTTTTTATTTTGAACTAAGATACTTTAAAAATATTCACAACAATAGTTTTAAAGGAATAGTATTTCTAAATGTAATCAGAAAAATATTTTTACGTATATACTCTCTTGTTCTTTTTTTTTTTTTAGGCCAAAAATAATTTCTGCTGATAAATGCTTCATAATCCATTAGTTGTTATGTTAGATATAATTATTAACTAAAATAAAAATAGTATTCAACACAAACAACAAGAATCATAGAATTTTCTTCTCCATCCCTCTTATGAGCAGCTTTTTCCCCATAAAAAAGGTAAAAGATTCTTCACCATGATGGTTACTTCAAATAAAATAAATTTTTTTCTATCACTGCTATGGTAATTCCTCATCTATTCTGTCTTTTTTAAAGTCTTCACTTTTTTGTAAATCTTCTTTTATACCAATATCAATTTTTTTAGTATAAGACTTTCTCTAGCTTAATTTTGCTAAAATTACAAAACCTTCCAAGTATTTTCACAGCCTTAATTTTAATAAATTTCTTAACATTTTTAATAATATTTTGATAACAATTCTAAAATATTTTGTTTTAAGCACATGTATTTCCTTATTTGGAAGCAATCTTTTTTGAGGTATTGTTAAATACTAAATGCGAATATCTCTCCCAACAAAGATTTATTTAAACCTTAGTTTGTCATATTCATCCTTAAATTTCATTTTGGATTTTGACTGTAGCGTTCCTTTTTTTTTTTCCAGTGATAAGTTGTGCGCATTCATATGGCATTTGGATTTACCGTTCAAGTAGAATCATTAGATAGCAAACATACGTAATTTTAAACATATAAAAAAATTAAGACCTTTATGAGATGCAATATAAATTCATGAATTATTTTGATAAAATGTCAGTTCAGAAATTAATTGAAGTTTTCAGTAAAATTAAGAGATAAAAATAATGAAGTTGAGTATAACATGTTAAATATGAAAACAATAATTTTAAGTCAATAAACTAATTTAAGCTTTCAAATATATATTTTTTTTATCCAAATGAGATTGGATAAAAAAAGCGTCAAAATGATGATGGAAAAGATCAACTTAGTTAATGAAAGAATGAATAAATAGAGGGATGTAATTTAAAAAACACACCTCACTTGCCACCTAGTGAGGCTAGATATACTTTGAATTTCTTTTTAAATCCAAATTGAAATTTAATTTTTCGTACATTCGTTTGCAAAGGTGCTTCTATATATATATATATATATATATATATATATTAATATTACCTATTCGTTCAAATTATAGAAAATAAACTGAAAGTTAGTAGATTGGCCACCTATGTCCAATGTCCTAATATGCCTTGTTTTGATTTTTTAACTTGTTTTTTTATTTTAGTTTATCTTTTTTTTTTTTTTGGCAAAAGCTATTATTCTCAACTAGCTTTGGCCAAGAAGCAACGAACAAATTGGAGACCCTTTCTTCAATATAGCACTACATTATCAAACATATATATAGTACACATTCTTGCTAGAAAGCATAATCCTAACAAGGCTTATATTATTCAAAAGCCTAAGTGATTAACGATAAACAGAAGCAACAACATACAAAATGCTTGTAATAAGCCATAACTACAATCACACAACTCTTTTTCCCCCCTTCTCACCACCAACAATATCGAAGTTTGTACCACATGCAGTCTATGAACTGAAAGTAAGTATACCTCCAGGATCTACTGTAGAGCAAAGGACCAACAACTATCCAAAATCCTGAAACAAATCCCAGAGACATGCTCACATAAAACCAATTGACCCCATTTCTTTTACCTTCTTTGTCATCATGGTGGTTTGGGATATTTTGCAAATCATCACAATTCTTTGGTAGCGGAGGACCACAGAGATCGTTGCCCATGAAACTTGATGCTTCCAAGCTTTGCAATTGAGTGCTTGTCAGAATTTTCCCCATCAAATTGTTGGATGACAAGTTCAACTTGCTCAAGAAATTCAAATTGGACATGCTTGATGGGATTTCACCATAAAGCTGATTTTCTGAGAGATTCATTGACTCCAACCATTCCATGTTTCCAATATTTTGAGGAATATTACCACTCAAAAGATTGTTTGACAAGTTTAGGAAATGCAACCCCTTGAGAGATGTAATTTCACTTGGTATCTCCCCACATAATTTATTACCAGAGAGATCTATGCTTGTGACGAGGCCCAGCAAAGTATATAGATCATCTCTTCCTTTCAGCTCTAGAAGCACATCAGTTACATATCTTGCACTACCATTTCCTTCGCCATAGATGTGCGATTCTAGAGTGGTATTCTTTACTAGCATAACACTCAATTGATTGATGCATTTTGGTATTTGTCCCGTCAAGTTGTTTTGTGCAAGATCCAAGATATGTAGCGAATTCAAAGAGCATATTTGATTGGGAATCTTACCATTAAATTGGTTTGATCTGAGGAGAAAGATCTTCAAATTTAAGAGAATGTCTCCAACCCATGGTGGAATGATTCTTGAAAATTGATTCTCTCTAAGATCCAAAAATACCAATGTAGTACTATTCCTGAAACAAACAGGAAAATTTCCTGAGAGAGAGTTGTTACGGAGTTGCAATTAGTCCAGCCAAGGTAAGGATCCCAAGGATATGGGCAACTTCCCCTTGAAATGGTTGTCAAACTTGATGATCATTAGATTATTTGACCACATCTTCCAACAATCAGGTATTTCACCTGACAAATTATTTGATACTAAATTGAGATATTCTAACGTCATTGGCTCTTCCTTTTCCTGACATGAGAAGGAGGCTATGGATCCATAAAACCAATTATTTGAGAGGTCTAAGTATTCCACAATTGGTGATATGTGTGGTAAAGGACCACTTAAGCGATTTGAGCTTAAATCAATGGTTTGGACATTGATGGGATTCTTCAATGTGTAAGAAAGCTCTCCATGGATATCATTGTTAGAGAAATCAAAATAAGAAGCATAGGGGAATGCACCCCATAGCCATGTGGGGATAGAATCAGAGATGTTGGTGTTAGGCATGGACAAGTCCTCAAGATGTTTCAGTGATTGAATCCATGACGAAAAGTGGGGACCTAAATGCCATAAGGCCATGTCCAAGGAGATCAACTTTTGAAAAGATGGCTTCCAATTGGGACCTACTTTTAAAGTTAGTCTGTTTCCTGATGCGGTGAAATAATTTAATTTAGCGAAATTGGTGAGGTGATGTTCATTTACAATTCCATGGAAAAGATTATCACCGATATCAAGATATTCTAATTCAGAAAGTGATTGCAAAACATCAAAAGGATTCCCATCAAATTTATTTCTGTTAACTTGAAGATATTTCAAAGAGGTAAGATTTGCTAAAGATATAGGAATTGCACCTTGAATAGAACTGTTAAAGATAGAAAGGTGACGGAGATTTTTGAAAATCCCAATTTGGGCTGTCAAATTACCATAAACTTTGGAACTATCAATTGACAAAACCTTGAGTGTGTGAGAAGCACAATTAGAGATTATTTCTATTAATCTAGAAACTTGTTGATTGAAGTTATTGCTAGAGAGACCAACACTTCTTAAGTTACAGAGATTGCTTAAAGAGTTTGGAAATGGCCCTTCCAACTGATTGTCTGACAAAGCAAGAGTAACCATAGAAGTCAAGTTTCCAATTGCATGTGAAATTGTTCCGTGCAAATTGTTGTTAGAAAGATCAAGAGACTTGAGATGGTTCAAAGTATATATGCAATCAGGGATAGAAGAATTAAACAAATTTGTACACAAATCAAGATCTTCAATGAGAGAGAGGTTATAAATACCGTTTGGGATGGATCCTTGCAAATAAGTATTTGTTATTTTAAGAGAAACCAAATTCTTTAGCTGAAAAATCCACTTTGGAATGGAAGGAGATCCAAGGTCAAAAGAAGAGGAAAGGCTAAGGATTGTTAGAGATGAAAAGTTTGTGGAAATGGCCGGATGGAAATTGTGATGAAGAGCACACCATTGTAGGTATAACTCTGTCAATGAGGGAAGAGATTGCAAAACAGGCAACCAATTAAAGGAATTAGACAGATTAACCAAACTCAATTGAAGATATTGGAGTGAAGAAAGAGATGACATCCACTGAAGATTTTCTTCGTACATTGATATCCCATCCTTTTCATATTGATGACCCCTAGAGAGATCAAGATAGAGTAGATTTGATAAATTACCAATTTGATAAGGAATCTTCCCAGTAAAAGAATTCCCTCCAAGGTCAAGATGTAGCAAACCAGAGAGATTTCCTATTTGGTGAGGAATGCTTCCACTGAATGTTGCATAAGAGAGGTTCAAATATATCAAGCTCTTCATTGAACAAAGGAAACTTGGAAACTGCATGCCTCCAGAATCGTTGCTGCTCAAATCCAAGTAACTTAGTTCTTTCAACTGAACTATCGAAGGATGTATTTCACCCCCAAACCGTGATATCTCATAAACATCATAAACCCCATACAAGTAAGTAATTGAAGTTGAGAGGTGAAGTTCAAGAATGTGACCTGTTTCATGATTGCAAGAAACTGATGTCCAGTTGCAGCAATTTGTGTTATCATCAGACCAAGTGGCAAGCCTGCTTGAAGGATCATGAAGACGTTGCTAGAAATTATGCAGGGCTTGTCGCTCACTAGGAATGCAAAGAACTTGATCAGATGCTTTGCATTTGCATAAGGGATTTAGTGATGAGGTGAGCAAGCAAATCAAAATGAACACAATGGTATTTTCGCACAGACCCATGATTAGTTTCTTTACTAGAGCTGGCTTACAACTCTACACAAAATTACTGGTATTTATAGCATTAGAAAGTGGGGGTTTAAGTAAAACTTTCACATAACAGTGAATGACTTCCTAGCAAAGCGTTCATTCTATAGGCGTCTTGGTCAATACATGATGACAATGATATGTGAAACTTGAGACCATTATGTATATAAAAGGTATACATAATTCTTTATTATTTATGCAAAGTTATAGCCTAATAGGTCTCATCATTTCCTTAAAAAATCATGGATTTAAGTAATTTTAATTGTTATATTCGCCACCAAATATGACTGTTATAAAACATTATTACTATTATTAGCAAATCACGTACATACGTACGAATTGATGAAAATAATTTAAAGGAACAATACAACTAATCTTGGTATACAATATATTCTTACATATGTACTTTTTTTTTAAATAAGTAAGGTGTTTATACTTTTTTATATATGTACGAGTGATAAATCTTGAAGAATCTACCTTTGACAATTTAATTAAGTGTTGATAAATAAAATTTAATTGATAAATCTTCATAAATATTATAATTGATTCTAATTAAAAGAATATGTTCATATATTCTTTCTTATAATAAACTCTTTTTCAAATTTCATGAAAAATGAGTGAATATGCACGAAGTTTTCTATTGTCCCTTCCGTGATAATTACAAATGACACCCCTGCCTAACTTGTTTGTTGGATCCAAAGAGTTTCTTATACAAGTGTTGGACTTCATAGGATTTCCTACAAACAAATTAGTCGAATTATCAAGAATAAATTTACTCAATTAATATTTATATTTATAATGTTAGATGCATGGTTACAAATTCTGGAAAGTAAAAACATAGTTGGCAAACTTTTTTCACACGAGTTAACCATACGAAACTTGTGTGGAGGGTTCTTGACTCATTATTTCTTTTATTTTCCAAAGCTCTTTTCAAATTTAATAGAAAACCTTTCACATTAAAAAAAATAAAAGTTTTCTCATCTCACAATATTTTCATCCTGAACAAACCAAAAACACATGTATAATCTTTTTCCTTTTCAACTAATTAAAATATTTTTAAAACAAAAGAAATAATTTAAATGAATATTATGTTTAAATATAATCATAAGAATATTTATATATATAATGTCTTTTATGAATGTCGAGCAAATTAAATAGAAATTTTCTTCTACTATCACTATACGATGGGACAAATCGATTAGGACAAAAGAAGAATCATGGAATTTTCTTCTCCACTCCTCTCTTGCCAAATTCCTCAAATTATGAACAAATTTTTCCACACAAGAAAAGTAAAAGATTTTTCACCCTAACGTTTACTTTAAATAGAATACAAAAACTTTTCTACCACTACTGTGACAATTGTTTATCTCTTCTATTCATTTTAAAGTGGTCACCTTTTGTGAGTCTTCTTGAGTATTTGTCACCAAATAACGTGTGACTATCAACATCAATTTTTTCAGTATAACACTTGATCCACCTCAGTTTTGCTAAAATTACAAAAACCTTTCAAATATTTTCACAACCTTAATTTTAATATATATTTTTAACATTTTTTAATAATGTTTTGGTAACAAATTCTAAAAATATTTTTCTTAATTGAAATTTATGTTAAAAACATTTATATGACTATCTAGAAGGCCAAATTGAGAATAACTCTCTAAAAGTTTTTTTTTTTAATTCACATGAACTCAAATTAAACTCAACATCTCATATTTAAGCATTCAAAACCTCTTTCACTAAGATCAATGCAGGTTGGTGTTTAAAATGATTAACTTATTCTCGTAATTTAACAATCAATGCTTTCTTTAATTTGCCGTCAATTTAATGAATCTTAAACAGAAAACAGCATAATATTTAAATAAATATTTTAGTAAACTCTCTTTCCTTTTTAATTTTGGTCGGACGAGCACCCATCCAATGTTTATTTTCCTTTGGTTTTAGTTTGATTTTGCATAGCATTTTCCAATTTTGACATAGTAAAAAAGAATAAAGGAGAATGTAAAGCCCCAATGAAAAAGTGGGTACGGGACCTACAATGAAAAAATAGTTGATGAAGATAGAACCCGCAATAAAAAAGGTAGCACAAATTAATTTTTTTTTTAAAGCTAAGGGTGCAGAAAAACTCATTAACTTTTACATAAAATGCACCAAACATCATATGCTTTTTGGAGGTTCAAAAATGCACATAAAAATGCAAAATTAGAGTGAAAATGATACAACTACTAAAATAATATAAAATTCGTTTACTTTTTATAGTGGGACACATGCTATTTAAAAAAATATAAAAAGTAAATTTACAAAAATACTTATAAACTTTTTTCAAAGTGCATCAAATATCATATGTTTTTCAAATATGCAAAAATAAATTGCACTGATCAATATTACTATGTTGATTTAGATCAAGTGCGCTGATCTACACAAATCTTTCCAAATCATTGAAAAAACTGAAAAAAAAAAGCGTAAAAAATCCAGAAGCTTCCAATGGAGACAATAACTTGAAGATAAGCCAATTAGATTGAACTTTTAATTTCAACCCCCCAGTCGAACGGCAATTTTAGAAGCATGGTTGCAAATTCTGGAAATTAGAGACATAGTTGGAAAATTTTTTCTGCATACGAGTGAACCATATGAAACTTGTGTGGAGGATTTTCGACTCATTTCTCTTATTTTCAAAAGGTCTTTTTGAGTCAACAAAATTTTTTTTGACATTTAAAAAAACAACAGTTTCCTCATCTCACAATATTTTCACTCTAAATAAAACAAAAACATATATATAATCCTTTTCCTTTTCAACTGATTAAAATTTTTAAAAAAATAACACAACAACAACATTTTTAAATATAATTATAAGAATATTTATATATATAATGTGTTATATAATTGTCAGGCAAATTAAATGGAAATTTTCTACTCCAATCACTATACGATAGGACAAATCAATCAGCACAGAACAAGAATCATGGAATTTTCTTCTCCACTTCGCTCTTGCCAAATTCCTTTCCCATTTATTAACAAATTTTTCCACATAAGAAAAGCAAAAGATTCCTCACCGTAATGTTTACTTCAAATAAAATACAAAATTTTTCTATCATTGCTGTGACAATTGTTCATCTTTTCTATCGGTTTTAAAGTGGTCACATTTTGTGAGTCTTCTTTAGTATTTGTCAACAAATGATGTATGACTATCATCATCAATTTTTTCAATATAACACTGGATATACCTCAGTTTTGCTAAAATTACAAAAAACTTTCAAATATTTTCGCAACCTTAATTTTAATCTCTATTTTAGTAGTTTTTAATAATGTTTTGGTAAAAAATTCTAAAAATATTTTTCCTAATTGAAGTTCATGTTAAAAATGTTTAAAATGATTAACTTTTTTCTTGCTATAGAAAATTAATTTTTTATATGAGTATTTAATAGGCCAAATTGAGAATAACTCTTCAAATGATGTTTTTTTTTTTTGGTAGTCACATGAATTCAAATCAAACTCAATACCATATGATTAAGCGATCAAATTTTTTTTCACTAAAACTAACACGGTAACTCCAACCCTGGTTGATGTTTAAAATGATTAGCTTATTCTCATAATCTAATAATCAATGCTATCTATGTCTCCAATTTTATAAATTTTAAACAAAAAGCCATTAGATATTATTAGTTTTGATGATGTCAAATATCATAACAAAAAGTTTGCAACAAATATTTATCTCATGTAGGGCTGACAAGTAACCTGCAACCTGACCACCCTGTCCGCAACCAGTAAAGATTAGGCATGTTTGAGCTTGTCCAAAAACGAAATAAACAGGTGGGTTTCAATATTAAATAGGCCGGCTACGGCATAGGAACAGGCTACCCGTACCCACCCGTTTAGCTTTTTTTTCTTTGTTAAAAAAATAAAAAAGGTGGGATACTTAGGGCGGAAAGTGTCGCACAACACACAGCCTTTCACACCCTCACTCAATGTCTTACCTTAGGCACTGCCTCTTGACTTTAACTCTCCACACTCTTGCCATCTCGCTTCTTGCTCTTGCCTTCTAGCTCGGTCTCTCATACCCACAGTCTCTTTGCTCGCTCAATCGATCACTTAGTCCCAATACCAGAGTAGCAACATCCGATAATAACTCCTCCCATCGCATCACCTCTCACTCTCAGTGTTATTGGCATCTCACGTCCTCCCTCGTTGCGATGCCAATGACGATGTCTCCCTTACTTATTAGTCTCCCCCTCTCACCTCTCAGTCTCTACATTCTACACTTAAGTGAGCTATAAATCTCCCTTCCCTGTTAGTCTCCCTGTCTTGTGAGTGATGATGATTTGATGAATAATCCTTTAGATTTTTATACTTGTGGTTGTCCTATTTTAATCTTGAACATTAGAATGATGGTTTGTGATTTTGTGTACTATGTAGTATTGATTTTGATCAGTGATGGTTATTCTATTTTATGGTTTGATTTTTTGAAGTTTGAACTTTTAATTTCAAGAATGAAAGACCTTGGCTTGAAATCTGATTGGTTAATGGTTATAATATTATTATCATATTATGTTATGATTGACTGATGGTTTAATTAGTTATTTATTTATTGCTTGCTTGAGTTATTCCTTGTCTTTAAGCCTAAAAGATTTAGTAGGAATGAGAATATGAGATAATATTTCAATGTCTTCAAATTTAAATAGGTTTTAGAATTTCTTATCTTAAATGAGTTGCCCAAAACCCGCAAAAACCCGCCTAGTTAAAATAGCTAGTTTAACAATGGGCTTTAACAGGGCATCTATGGTTACGGGCTAACCTGTACCCATATAATCTTAAATGGGCAAGTCAGGGGTTAGGGGCCAGGTAGCCCAACCAGCCTGTTACTCTTCCCTAATCTCATGCTTTGACCAACTACCATACTTAATGTGATTATCTTATGTAATTTGTTCAACAAAAGAAAGGAGTTATCATGAGATTGATTCAAAAGAAGAAGAATAGAGATAAAAGAAACAAGAATTTGCAAGATCAAATGGGAATACCAAGATTTAAGTTCTCAGATTTGATATTGAAGGTTACTATGCTCAATAAGAAGTTAGAGTTTCTCAATTGAAAGTTAAAGAAGCCCAATTGGAAGTTATATCAATATACCTTGAGTCACCTTTTATCTAAGCTTGAATACAATCTTCAGAGATGATTTTCAAGTGTGCTTTTAGAGTTCATTATCGATAAACATATTTATCTATAACCTCTTTGAAAAATTGGTATGTTATGCTTTATTCTTCATTCAGCTCTGACACATGTTTGATATTTCTACAATATCTCCTAAACTATAAATCATTTGAAGTGAAACTTGATTAATATAAAACTAGACTTAGTATAAGGTTCATGGACACCAAGATCAACTCCAATGAATTTCATATGAAGGAGAGATGCTACTGAGGTTTCATGCCTTGTCACTAACCTTCAGTCACTTTGATGAAGATAACTTTGAAACTACAATGCATTTTGCAGTAGGACTTGTTGTGTTGAAAGTTGACTCAGAGAGCTTTTCGGTGATAGGTCCTTTGTAATATTTGGAGTTGAATTGAAAGATTTACAATCATTCAAATTTAACTTTTATTTTTCTTGCATCAAAATTTATCGATAAAGTTATCAATAAGCTTTTCGACAACTTATTGTTTTTCAACAGAAGAGTCATTTATCAATAAGCTTATTAATAAGATAGTTTATCAATAATGACTTTGATAATTGTACTCAAATTTTAAAGCATTTGATTATCTCTTTTAAAACTAAATTTGCTTTTAGACACGCACTAAAAAGGTTGAAAGGAAGTATGTTTCACCTCCTGCTCATCTTCCTCATCAATCACTCATCATGATTGGCCCTTAAATTGCATATCGCCTATTGCCTTCGCTCGTCTAGCGTTGTTAGGTCAATTTCTCCTCCCTCTCTTCTCAATTTGAAAACTCATCTGGATAAGGGTGATTTTAGAAGAAGAACACTATTGATGCAATGCTCAAAAAGAACCTGCAATTTTCAACATGGGCGGTTTTAAAAGGAGAAGGGGGTAGGTAAAAGATCAAGGTGAATAAAATAATAGAGAAGAAAAGGGGAGATGAGGATTAGGGATCAAGGATGGATTTGAAAAGTGATGACCAGAGGTGAGAGAAAAGGATATGGGTAAGTCTGATTTTGATTTTCTTATGCTTTATATATTTTTTATATTTGGTGTAAATGAAGCATCAATCTGATCTAATGATTTGTACTAGAAAGCATTAATTTCTATCTTTGCATCTTCTTTTCTAAATATTGTTTAGATGGGCTTTTTTTTTTTTTTTTTATACAGGATGTCCTAATTTGTCCTAGTCTTGTCCCTGTCTCAATTAAGACTAGGAAACTTTCAAGATGAGAAGGAATACAAGATGAAAATTCCATTTTATGAGAGTTTTCAAGATGGGACATGGGATGGGGGTATGCCAGTCCCATCCTCTTCCATGAGCAACCCTCATCATGCATTTAAGTTGCCTTTTTTTATCTATACTTTTAACACGTTTTGATTTTGATCCTTATACTTTTAAAAAGTTTTGGTTTTGATCCCCATATTTTTAATGAGTTTTAATTTTAGTCTCTATATATTTAACGACATTAATGAAGGTCACACCATTAACTCAATTTCATGTCCTTTTAATATTATAGGTACTAACATTTTGTATGACACCCTAACCACACAACTTGGACACTTAGCGTCCAATCAATTACACCATATAAGGGCTTAAGAACTTCCGTCCTAAAGCTATGCAAAGCCCAAACAAAACCTTCCTAACACAATTGTTATCTCAAAGGATTAATCTCAAACAGCTACTCAAGCCGAAATATTTTATAAAATAAAATACAATTTTAGTACCATAGCAATTAAATGTAAATGAACACAACTTGTGCTCAAGGAGCATAATAGAGCCTTCAAGATTCCCTCCTTTAATGCATTCTCTTGACTTCTACTTGATCTCTAACCTAAAATGTTAAAATGATGGGCAAGCACTAATGGGTCGTTTAGTATGCTCGAATTGATTTTGATGGAAATGAAAATGGGCATAGATATGCATTACAAAAAGTAGGGCATTAGTAATAGAATTTAGTGACAAAATTTTATTCCTTCATTAATTTATCGCTAATCTGTGACAAATTCCATCCCTAAAATTAGCGACGGAATTTAGTGATGAAATTTTTTAGTGACGAAAATTTAATCTGTCTCTAAATTCCATCACTAATCTATCATTGATTCCATTGTAAAAGAATTAGTGATAAAAATTTTCTATCATTAATTTCTGTTACTAGTCCATCTCTAACTCTCCTCACAAAATATATTATATAGATAAAAAATACAAAGATTATAAACAAAAAATAAATAATAAACATAATATAATAATTATTTTATTTAATTTTTGAATAAAAATATTAACAATTAATTATTTTTAATAAAATAAAAATTAAAATAAAATAAATAATAATATATTAAATTATATATATTATTTATTATATATGTTTGTATTTGTAATTAGAAATATTACATATATATTTATTTATTTTTGTATAAAAATTTTGTTAGTGTTTCTCTAGCAAACACTTCAATATACGTAGAAGGTCTTAAGTTCGAATTACCACTCCTTCACAAAAATTGGCTTAATTTGTGATATAACGATGACATGGACGAGAGGATGACGTGAGAAAGCAATGATGTGGTCATCATAGGAGAGAGGAAGTAATGATGTGGTCATCATGGGAGAGAGGAAGCAATAATGTGGTGATAACATGGCAACACGAGAGAGAGAAAGCAATTATGTGGTCATCATAGGAGAGAGGAAGCAATGATGTGGTGATGACATGGCGACATAGGAGAGAGAGCGGGTGGTAAGATGACGATTTGGAATCTCTCCTGATTTTTTTTTTTTTCAACTATTAGATTATAATTTTAATGATTCAGATTTAAATCTTTTTAAAATTATTATTAAATTAAAAGTAGCAATAATATTTTGATAACCTTCCTCACAGGGGGGAGGAGTATCATAAGTTTGCTGCAAAGTACAATATGCATTTAAATAAATTAAAAGTACCAATAATAATTATATTTAAAACAACATTTAAAAGAAAAGGAGAAGAAAACTGTATACCAAAATATCTTTCCAAACCATGTCCTTTGTAGTTTCTGCTACTGACTTCCAATTAGGGAACAAAATGCCAACTTTACTTCGGGCTATAAAGCCTATACAACTAATGAATCTACCCCCTCTGCACCAAGGGGATTCTTGTTATCATCAAATTTCACATGCATTCTCTCAGTAGCACCATGATGTGCACCCAACTTTGTGAACTTAATTATGCCTCTACCCCTTTTCCTACTCGATATGCCATTCATGTTATTCCCAGCAAAACCCTTCATGTGTCTATTGAGAAAACAAGGTGAGATAGGTAAGTAGATTGAAATTCTTGGCCCCAAAAAAAAAAACAGAGAACATGAAAGAATATTACCCATTAAGTTTTGAAACAAATTCAGCAGAGTTTTCCCTAGAAGATGAACCTCCTGAAATATTCAAATGATAGAACATTACTCATTCCAAAGCAAATTATGATAAACATGTTTAAAATGTGTGTGGGTCCAAATGATCCATTACTTAAGCTAAATAACAACAAGTCTTATCCCCCTACATGAGATTGCTTAAGCTAAACATGACCTCAAAAAAAAAAAAAAAAACCTATCAAAACTAATCCAGTGTTTAAGATAAATAGATTAATACAACAATTTAAAATATCACACAGCATCAGCTTATCTTTCCATCAAATGTCTTCCATGTGCGTGCCCAAGTTTCCATATTTTCAGGGAGAAGAGGGGAGGAGCTAGAGACAGAAAGTACCTCTTGCCAATGAATGAGAGCCATGTTCTTTAGTCATTTGAATTCCACTGGTTGAAGGCGTTATCTCAGGTTCAGTTATATTATAGAAGCATCAAATCCAGGGCCTCTTGAGATCTTCATGTTTAAAAAATTT